CTTTTGCGAGCCACGATGTAGGTGCTGGGAACAGAACCCAGGTCCTATGGAAGAGCAGGAGTGTCCTTTGGTTGCTGAGCCGTCTCTGCAGCGCCTGGCCCCTTTGTTTTGTAGACAGGGTTTCTCTGGACCAGGCTGGCCTCCACCCCAGAGATCTGCCTGCCTTTGCCTCCCCGGTGCTGAGTGCTGAGATTAAAGGCTTGTGCCACCAAACCTGGCTCAGGCCGTTTGTAAGACCGACTCTCATGTAGCCCAAACTCACTATGTAACCAAGGATGACCTTAAATTTCTAATCCTACTCCCTCTACTTAAGCCGGAAATACTGAGATTACCTCCAGGATCATGTATCTTTTATTTACTGGATAACTAAATTTTGGGAAGCAAAATATTTTTGCTTATTTAAAAAAAATTGAGTATTTGTAACTTGCTGCTCCCAGGAATTTTATCCTATGATCAAATGTGTTTTTTTCCTCACAAATGCACAACCGCTAAGTGCAATGCTAAGTAAATACTGTCAGTTTAACAGGGTCTAGAGTCACCTTGGGGACAAATCTCTGAGTGTGCCTGTGTGCAAGTTTCTAGATTGGGTTAAAATGGGTGGAGGCCCCAGAGTGAAAAGGAGAAAGCTGAGCGCCAGCGTTCTCTCTCTGCTTCCTGACTGTGGACAGTGTGAGCAGCTGCCTCCTGCTCTCACAGTCATGTCTTCCCACCATGATGGACATGGACATGACCCGGAACTCACTGCAATAACCTTTCCTTCCTTAAGTTGCTTTTGACAGTTTTCTTTTTATGTGTGTCTGTGTGACAGCAATAAAAAAAAAAAAAAAAAGTAACTACTACATTAAGATGAGAAAATACAAGCCAAGCATGGTGGTGCATGCTTTTGATCCTTGCACCAGAGAGACAGTAGCAGGAAGAAGTTCGAGGCCAGCCTGGTCTATCTAGCAAGTTCCAAGACAACCAAAGCCTGACTCAAAAAAAAAAAAAGGCTTAAGATGTGCCCCACATACATAGTTTAAACCAACTGATGTGGGGCTGGAGATGGCTGTGTATAGAGAGGACCCCAGCTGGATCCTAGAACACACATGGTGGAAGGAGAGAATACACTCCCTCAAGTTGTCCTCTCTCTCACACACACAATTTTAAAAATTAAGAAAAAACAAGTAATGTTAAAAAAAATAGTACACCCTGAAAGTGTTCATGGCACGAATGTCTCACTCAGATGATGAGCCTTCTAATTTAGGACGTTTTCAGAAAGATCCTTTGATTGTAATTATCTTTGAAGATCTTAGCAATAAAATTTTGTGACTAAAAGCGACAGGAATGAAATCTTGGTGAGGAAGTGGTGACTGTCAGGGTGTCAGTGACACAGCAGAACAGCGGTTACTTTGAAAAGTTTGACAGTTCCTGAAAACATTAAACATAAGAATGATTCTGAACCCAAAATGCAATTCACACACACACACACAGGAATAGCCACAACCCTGTGAATGCACTTGAAATAAAGTCTGAACACTTTGAATGGGCCAGTGTGGGCTGGAGGGCTAGCTCAAGGTAGAATGCTTGCCCAGCATGCTCCAAGTTTGAAAAGAAAGACAGGTCCCGAGTTCAATTCCCAGCAACCACATGGTGGTTCACAACCATCTACAGTGAGATCTGGCGCCCTCTTTTGGTGTGCAGGTGTACATGCAGACAGAACATTGTATACATAATACATGTTTACAAAAAAAAAAAAAAAAAAAAAAAAAAGACACCCTCAAAAAGAACAAGAAAACAAGATACAGAAACAGCTTCCATGGTGCTCCGTCATCAGTGCAGGCTCGGGCACACCTTCTTTCAGTCCAGTGATCTCATGCCTAACAATTTTCCTGAAGACTTACATGGGTGTTTAGAAGTGTCTGGAAATGTGAATTTCAATGAGCAATCAGGCAGAAACCGCTGTAGCCACACCCTGAAATACTCTGGTGCATAAAAGAACCTACAATTCTCTCCCAGGGCTGGTAGTGCTCCTCCGTGGAGGGAATTTGACAAGCCTGTGTATAAATTTTTTATACTGAGTCTATTGGGGTTTTTTTTGTGTGTGTAAAGGCCAGAGGGGACTCAAATGTTGTCTAATTGGCTCAGTTTCATACCCTAAGATACGGTTTTTGTCTTGTCTTTACTGTCACTGGGACAAAATACCTGAGATGAACAACCGAGGAAACATTTCTCTTGGCCTCCGGTTCCAGAGGCCAAGTCCGCGTTCTTTGGTGCCACCCCTGTGGGGCTGTTGACGCACAACAGCAAGCGGAGGGCAAAGCTGTTCTCATGGCAGCCAGGAAGCCCAGGAGAGACCTGCCCTCTCATCTCAGTGATCCACTTCCTCCAACTAGGCCTCACTGCCTAGTTAGCACTCTTACGGCCCAATAACCTCTCAATGGCACCACCAGCTGAAGCAATGGGCCTTTTGCCGGGAGATTTCACATCCGAACCCCAGCAAGCTAACATTTTCCTGGAGCAAGTAGCCGGGGCCCCAACCCCATAGTGTTTATCAGATATGAAACTGTTTTGGTCTCAGACTCACTCTAGAGGCTTTAGGGCTCAGTGGTCTCATCACACCACTGGACCTTTTAGGAGCACCAGGGCTCCCCAGTTGTCTTTACCACACCTTGTGGTTATGCAGAAGGCTGTGAGGCTGCTTACCACTTAACCTCCATAACTTCCTCAGTCATTAGAAAACATTCCCCCAACCAACAGTTAAAGCAACAGCAGGGCTGGAGGCAGAGCTGTTGCTCGAGTGCTTACTCGGTGTGCAGGAGGCCTGGGTTCAATCTTCAGCACCACCTAACTCGGCTGTGGTGGTGCGCCCCTGCAATTCCAGCACGCGGTGGCTGGAGGCAAGGGAGTCACAAGCTCAAGGTCATTCTCAATTACATAGGGAGCTGGAGGCCAGCCTGGGACACACGGCATAAAAATAGGGATAACAGTAACAGCTTACAGAGGCAAAATCCTGGTATGAGAACATCCTGAAAACATTTTATTATTGTTGATAGAAGCACGAGGGGGAGGGGGCACATGTTCCAAAAGTAACTTAGAGCAGTCAGTTATTGCCTTCCACATTTCTGTGGGTTCGTAAGCTGGAGCTCAGGATGTAGGTTTGCACAAGCATCTACACTGATAAAACCACCTTGCTGCCACTTACATGTATGTGTATGTGTGCATGCTCACGCTCTACGGTGCACATGCTGACTTTTGCCTGCCCCGAAGACACTGCTTTTATTATAGTATATACCCTATGTTATACAACCTGGCTTTGGATAGGGGCGGGCATCAGTAGAGCATCTTCTGCCTTCCGAGGCTGACTGGCGCAAACATTCTTGAAAGACCAGTATAGAAAAAAGGGCAGCCATTGCCAATGCACTACCAAAAGGACTCTCCTGGGCTGGGAGTCTCAGGGAACAATTTAGTGGAGTTGGTTCTCTCCTTCCATCCTTGGCTGGGTTCAAGAAGTTGAACTCAGGCGGTAGGCGTGGTGGCACCAACTGACCCATGCCCCCTGCCCTTAGTATAGTTCTCAATAAAAAAAATTTACATGGGGAAAAAAAAACAACAGGAAAAATGTCAGAAAATAAAAGCTATGAAGGGTATATAGCTCTCCTGGCTTTGGTAATTACAGTATCATCTTCTATAATTAAACCTATGTCATCTTAGCATGAGCTAGACAGGACACCTGTGGGCAGGGAAGATACGGGGAGGTATGAACAGAAAAGTGGGTGCTGTGGGGTGACTGAGCGCATGCACATACAGGCTGAGTGAATGAACTAGTAGGTATGTGATGGGGTGAGTAGATTCCCCCTCAATGTGCCAGCTGCAGCCCCCCCCCCCCCCCCCAGCCTGTTTCAACACGTAGGATGATTCAAGTTGCCTGTTTATGGCTCCCCACACCCCGGTCAAAGGACATTTCCATATCCTCGATCAGGTGGGGTCAGGCAGACCTACCTCCTCCAGTCTTTTAAGCCCACCTTCCTCCATCCCTGGGGAGGCAGCCATGTCACCCAAGTCTATTGCCAGCCCTTGTCTTGCAGGTCATGTGACTGTCAGTTTCCTTAACTAAGCAATCTGGCCAAATTAGTGACTCTCAACTGTTGCTGTTCATTACAATCTGAGGACTTTAACCACTCCAGTGTCTACAGCACCTCAGATCACTTATCTCCTTGTAGGGTGGCCAGGCAGCCAGTTTTCTCCAGGTGTGCATATGATCTATGACCTCTAGGTTCCTCTAGTGTTTGGAGGCTGAAGACCACTCAGGTCCCTAGATGCCCCCCCCCCCCCCGCTGTCTTCTGTCACAGGAATTTTAAATATGAACTACCCATACATACGGTCCCAGCCTATGCCCCTCCTGCCTTGCAGCCTGCTTTTAAGAGTCTGGGACAGCAGCCTCACTGGGGACTTTGCCCAGACTCCCCATTTACTAAGTCTCCCATCCTTAGGCTTCACTAAGCCTACCCTTTGCACTTTGATGCTTCTAACCAAGGGATCACATTCACAAGACAGCCCAGGTACGGCTGGGGCTTCTGGCTTCTTTCTAGAGGAAGGGGCTGGGAGAGAGAGGGAATGTTCAATCCCAGGTCTTTGTTTTCGAGACAGGATTTGGCTGTCCTGGACTCCCTTTGTAGACCAGGATGGCCTTGAACTCGCAGAGATACACCTGCCTCTGCCTCCCAGATTACAGGTGTGCATCACCACACCCAGCTCAATCCCAGGAATTAAGGATTTGGCATTTAACCCGTGTAGATCAACAAATCTTTTCAAAGACGACCTCATAGTGGTGGAGGTCCTGAGGCACCTGGCTGGTTACTGCTACTCAGACCAGAGCAAAGGGCTCCATTCCCGTCCTGCATTGCATCCAAGGGCAACAGCCTAGGAGGGAGTGAGAAGCCTTGAACTTTAGTCTCTGCCTTCAATTGCAGCGTACTATAAATCACATGGCACACCTAAGCCTGTGTACTTAGCAATAAACACGATCTTGTCCACTTTATAGGTAACAGAACATACAATCTTACTGCCCATACTGGTGTTGAGGTGCTAGAAAACACTTTCATTGGGAGCTGGTATATAACGTGAGGGGCCTGTGAGCTGTCATGGAGGAGAAGCTGGCAGGTGAGTCTGACTCCTGTTGGCAACACAGCCCTCAAGGGGAATAGTGGCGGAGGGTAGTTGGGGAAGTGGTGGCTACTGGTGTAGGCAGTGGGCCAGTCATGAACAGGCAACTGGCACAGGGCTCTCTCCCAGGACCAGTTATACAAACACAAGCAGCAGCCAGCAGTGCCTGGTACTAACTGGTGCTAGGCCGACCTCCTGAGCATTCCTTTTTCTGCTCACCATCCTGTGAGCTAGGGTTTATTAACCTCATTTTCCTGGTCAGAAAACAGTGGGTACACAGCTCTCCCAAGGTGCCAAAGGAAGGATTCACCACCCAGTTACGTTTGGAAAAGTTCCTGGATGAGTTAGCAGATACACAAACCCATCATTCCACTTACAAACTAATGTGTGAGACACTGCTTTGGACAGATGCCGCAGCCTCCTGGGCACAGGGCTATCTCCTTGGCAGAGGCTGGAAGGGCAGACAAACTTCACCAATCCCTGTGTGGCTGAGGAAAGACATGCTGCTGTGTGAGGAGGGGTTGTGCTGGGCTTGAAATTACTCATCTCAACTTCTACACGGCCAAGTACCGTGCTCTCTGCCTTTCCTCACCTCACCTGGGCACCACTGCAATCTCCCCCTTACTGCCTTCTGCCTCTTCTACTGTCCATTCAATTCCAAAGACTTATTCATCTCTGGAGTTTTGCTATTGATCTGTGGTGTTGGAGATCAAACCCGGAGCCTCAGGCATGACAGGCAAGTACTGTACCACTGAGTGATATCCTTAGCCCTACAAGGGTCTTAAGGATGATTTTAATACTACTTTTCCTTCCTATTGGTCAGAAAGTTTCTCTGCATAAGTGGACCTTTCTGCTGGGTAGCTTCGGTAAAGACTTGGAAACAAAACAATGCATATCAAAAATACCAGCAGAAACTTAAGAGCACAGATTGTAAATACTTCTTTCCCAGGTGAGTCAACACACTTTTAGAATACAGACCTGGCTTCCTTTCATGATTTAGCTATTAAGAAAAGCCACCTAAAACTGAAACCATGGCTCATGGGATAGCCACTTGCCACACAAGCCTAAGATCTGAGTGCAATCCTCAGAGCTTCACACATGCACCATTGCACGTCCCACTCAGAAATAAAGCTTTTATTTCTACCTCTTTCCTTCTCTCCCAGGTGAAAGTCAACAGGGCACGAATCCACACTTGCCAACTGACCAACGTGATGGCAAACCCAACATTACCAGTCTAGGTAAGGACTAGCTCACCATGTGGCCCATGCTGTTCTTCAGAGAGTGTATTGACAAGAGAGTGAATCCTCACAGCTCTTAAGGGACGCTGTAAGGATCAAACCCAGTGAAACACACCCCTCTAACTTTTCTTCATGCCAATACCCGAAATATCCATGTGTACTTACAGGCAGTGCTCTTAATCACTGAGGCATCTCTCCAGCCCTCTACTGCATATTTCACATCTCTTACTGAAGTGTAGCTCAGGGTAGAGTGCTGGCCCTACAGGCATTTACTGCTATGGACTTAATTCCCACCTCCGAGACAGGAAGAAGCTTGGCGCAGCCTGCAGAATGAGGAAGCAGAGTCTTGAGTTTAAGTCATGTCTGGGCTATACAGTGAGACCTGTTTCCAAAGGCAAATAGCTGGAGAGATGGCTCAGGAAGCTTAGGTGCTCATTGCTCTTCCAGTTTGGTTCCCACCTGGCAGCTCACAACTGCCTCACTCCAGCTCCAGAGGCCCCCACTTTTTGTCCACAGGCGCCTGCACACACAGAAGTCTTTCTCAGACAAGCAAAAACACACCAGCTGCTTATAGCAGACCTGATGGGGGCACATCTCAATCGGGCCAGCACTTGCCAGTTTCAGCTCAGAATTTATCCAAAAGCTTCAAGTCTACTTATAGTTCAGTTTTTAGGATCATCTTTGCTGTGATAAATGTCGGCAATCTTTAAAATGGGCATTTTATCTATTAAAAACTGTTTGAATTTATGGGTGATCAGAACTGGTGCTTAAAGTAAGAATTCAAAACGCCAAAGAAAACGACTTCATTGAAATTGAACTGCACAGACAAGCATTGAGTTACCAGAACCTACTACAAGTGAGCTGTGGTGAACTAGGGATTCTACCAGAACAAGTGGAGAAGATGAGGAAGCTGCCAAACACACTGCTCAGAAAGGTAGGTCACACACCACCAACACACAATTCGGGTGGGAGGAATTATGTTCCCAAAGCCAACCATTCAGATTTTATGTTCAAAGTACAAAATTCAAGACGGTGGACACTGCTAGCGGAACCACAAAGCAGCTGGGTCACTTTCAATCAGACACTTCTGCTCAATCCACAGAAATTACTTTTCTTTGAATTTTTTTCCCTAGGTTGAAAATGTAGATCTCAAGTTTTAATATCAGACTTCATTCCTTAAGTCCCCCTCCCCCCCAAGCTGGACATGGTAGCACACACCTTTAACTCTAGCACTTGGGAGGTAGAGGCAGGTGAATCTCTATCTGAGTTCTAGGACAAAAATCAACCAACCAGCCAACCAAACAACAAAAAAAGCTATAAAATGACTGTCATTTTTTAAATGTCTTAGTCATTGATAAGATTCTTTGTAAACTACCATTAAGTCACAAAATAATCATACATTCCAGATATCTTTGACATAAAAAAATAAATTTATGCTGGGCATGGCAGTACACATCTTGATAATCACAACCCCTGCAGAAGCAGAGGTAGACAGATCTGAGTTCCAGGCACAGAGAGACCTGTTTAAAAACAAAACGAAAAAAAAAACCCACGAAAACTAATTTAGCCGGGAGGGGTGGTACAGCCTGTAATCCCAACACTCAAAGGAGACAGAGGCAGGCAGGTCACTGTGAGGCCAGCCTGGTCCACAGAAGTCCAGGAGAGCCAAGGCTACACAGAGAAACCCTGTCTCAAAAACAAAACAAAACAAACAAACAACAACAAAAACAAACCAAATTCAACTACTAACAGTTTACCATGGAGAGACCAAAGCAAGCCTGAAGTGGCTGTCTATAGTAGTAAATCTTATTTCAGTGATTGCACACAGTATTCTTAAATCATTAAATCTCTCCCCATCATGTAGGACAAAGACATTCAAAGACTCCAGGACTTTCAGGAGATAGAGCTCCTCTTGGTGAAGAGTGGAAACTCTGAACGGACTCAACACACAGCATCACCTCTGACAGAGAGACCCTGCTACAACAGTGATGCAGCAAAATTGACTTATTAGCTCCAGATTGAGAAGGTTTTGGAATCATTTTGTCAATTAATAAGGCATAGGCCATGTGACAATTTGGCTAACCACAGTTGAACTCTGGAAAGTTTCCTCCTCTGCAACCTTTCTGAGTAGGAACTGTTTGACAGTTACAACTGTGGTATCCACGTAAGGCCAAGTTGATTCTGAAGCGCTGAAGCACAATACTGACATTCTACTTCTGTGCCCAGCTCCACTTTCCTATACAGTGGGAGAACTTATGAACGGAGTAAACAACTAACTTCTCCAGGTGAGACTCACAACAGCAGCTCACATCACTGCAGCTGGCGGCAGCTTCATCAGCTTCTCAGCCTAGTCTTCTGAAGCCCACTTTTAAGTAGACAGCCGTGTCATGTCGTTATAAGCCCTCAGCTGTAACTTGCCCGTGTTCACTCACACATTCCTCTTGCTATTCCTTGAATGTCAAGTCACCTCCAATCCTTACAGGATGAGTTTAATTAAAACATCAAGGCTCCTCATGAACCAACAAATTCCACCTGCATTCCCAGCAGCTGAGTTTTGAGGGAAGAGAAAAGACACACAGGACGAGCACAGTGGCACAAGCCTTTAATCCCAGCACTCAGGGGAGCAGATCACTGAGTTCAAGGACACCCTGGTCTACAGAGTGAGTCCAGAGAGCCACGGCTACAGAGAAACCCTGTCCGAAAACCAAGCCCTGCCCCAAAGACACAGAGTAGGCATTACCCAATTGTCAGAGGAAAATGGTTTATTATAGCAATGAAGTATGATTCATATTGGAATGAGCCTCCACCTGCAATGGGCTTGGTAGCTAGGACTCTAATGGAAGGAGCACTCTCCTGACAGTGCTTTTAAAGCATGCCAGCTCCAGTGTTCCAGCAGTACCTGATTATGACTGGTCAGGATGATTAAGTGACAATTCCCCTAATTGTGTTTCCCCTTCAACAGTAAGGAAAATTTAGTAAGAAGCTAAAGGACAGTTAATCGCTAGAAATCACCACTTGCAGAACGTGGAAGATTGTTTTAAAATTAATAAATTTAATTGAAAAACAAATTAGTCAGGAAAGTACTGTTATCCTCTATTCTAATGGCAAAACCTATGAAGGTGTTATCCAGTGGCTACTTAACAGTTCAGACAATAATCCAATCACAAAGCTAACTAGCAAATTCTTACCTGCTCTAATAAGCACACTACTCCAAACAAAATAGGGGTGGGGATAGGGGTGGAGCATGGTGCCTACCAGCCCAGAGGGCTTTAGACACTCTGCGCAGCTGAGGGATAATCCTGAACCTCCCACATGCCAGCATCACAGATGTGCAGACTCTTTTCTGTAAGTCCCAAGGCAAACCCTGAGAGCTTCAAGCAGCAGCACAATTAGTTTTACGTCATAACTTGAATGTAAAGACAACCCCTGCACAACTAACAACTCCACTAAATAATTCCCAAATTGTAGTAAGTGAAATGAACCAAGCAGCAGAACGTTAGAACATACCTGGGTTAGAAAATTATCAACACTCTTGACTCCTAGCTGCATGCAGCAAGCTGCGTGCTTACAATGATGAAGACTGGAGGACAACGCACTTCCTTTTGTGCTCTTGTCAGCTAGTGGAAGAAGTCCTGCTGCAGCCCACTGCCGCACTGAGGAAGAGGGCATTATCGGCATGCATGTAAGCTCAGACACCAGCTCACCTCAAACGGACTGAGTTTCACCTGAGTAGAATGTGGTGGAAAAGGACTGAGAGAAAGTAATGCTTGGCTATGTGAGCCTACACATCTGCTGGTGCCCTTCAAGTCCTAGCCCCTTTTTCTTAAAGAGTAAACGTCTTTGTTAAAACTTCATGGTATTTAAATCTTCCTTGGAAAACTGTTTAGGAGTACCCATTCCCCGGCTGCGCCTAAACAAAAGATAACACACAGCGTGTGGCACATTCATCACGCAAGCAATTTGGGAGAAAGAGTCCCAACTCCCACAGCAGTCGGGTTACAGTGAGAACAGCTCAAGAATGAAAGGAGACTGTGTTGTATCTTTTAAATCTGTCATGCATTGAGGTTAACTAAGTTTACCAGTCACTGCCTACACCAAGACCTTTTCCCACTTAAGAAAATTTTATTAAGAAATAGTATATACACAAAAGCACACAAACATACAGTTCAAAAAGAAAAAAGCTTGAGAAAGAGCAGTAGCCATTTCTCTAAAACCCCTTTGCCCTCCAAGGTCATTCTCAAAGTAGCAGCTAACCATGATCTATATGTCAACTGTTTCCTTCATTTACCATGTATTTTTAACAGCCTGTTTTGACCTTTACCGAAGTGAATCTTAATAGATAGATTCTTCTGTGGCTTGCTTTTAAGGGACATATTAAAATCGTCATCCATGGTCACATGTGGAGCTGAAGTTCACTTTCACGCCTGTGGAATTCCGTGGTGGGGATGTGTCATACTAGTTATCCAACACAAATGCTGATGGGATCTTCCCAGGGCCTTCTCTTCTTCATTATACAAGATGACATAAGACATTTGTTCATCCTTCTGGCAACAAGTAAGAGCTTCTCAAGAGTATGTACCTAGGGCTGAGTTCCAACACACTTAGCTGTGCCGAACTGTTTCCAAAGTTGCTCCTAAACAAACCTGTTGACAGACAACTGATCTACTTGGGATAGCTAAGGGGAAGAAATAGATCAACTGTGAAAATCTAGAAATGCATTTTAATAGAAAATCCATAATTGACACAATGAAAATGCCATTTACTGTTTCAACTAGGTTACTTGAAACGTACTTTTTGAAAACATATTCAACTTCAAAGTGCTGTGGCCTACATCTCAAAATAAATGTTTCCAAATATAGTAACTGAAAATGGCAAATTCAGATCATATATGATGAACACCATCATATATAAAAAGACATCTATGTATATCTTATATTCCCACCTCCTACTTCTGCCCCTTCCCCAGTACTTAGAAAAACAGGCAACATCAGGATCTCCTAGAGAGGAGCAGACAGTCAGGAGTAAATGAAAACAGATCACTAAACACTTCAGCCATTGCTTTTAAACCAAGAATAAGCATTACAATTGTAATTACCAAACAAGTTAAAATGCAGAGCCATCCTGTGTCCTTTCACAAGCAAAGAGAAACCAGTCAGAAACACAAGCTTGAAAACCAACCCTGAACGAAGTGTTACGCATAGAATGTTTTATGCATATAAAAGGTATTGAAGGCATACTCACATCACTCATATACAAACAAAATAGATGTGAACTCAAAAAACAAAACAAAAAAAACCCCAAAAAACTTCCACCATAAAAATTTCAGTTTGTACAGCTCTAAAATCTTTAATAAGGTGGCTCAATTCAAAGGGTATGTGAGCCAAGTGTTCTCAGACCTTGGAATGACCTTTAGTCCCCTTCTGTGACATGATCTATATTCTTAAGGTGAGAAATGTTCTGGAAGAAACTAAGTGAAAAACCATGAACAATTTAACAGCTCATGATTACAAAGGTACAAAAGTGGTTTCAAATCCAACTGAAGTATAGCTGGAATATGCTGTAGAGGCCATCTCTCTAGTCTGTCTACACTCTATAGGAGACGCCTAACAGCAGGCTCCAGTTCTCTGCCCTCTTTATAAAGTAAAGAGACCTCAGTCGGAGAAGTAACTACTGATTAAAAGCTCACTGAGTTTTACAACAAGCTACTTAGAGAACTTCCTCTTTCTGAAACATGGGTTACATAGCATAAATGAGACTTGCTTGAAAACACAGAAGAGTAGACATGCACACACACACACACATCCACACATATGCACTTGTGCAATGCCCCCATTCACACAGACAGGATTAGCTACAGTTATGATTATTACTGGAGATGGGTCACCACAGATTGATTATACTCTTATACTTCCATGTGGTGAAAATTTCCAAAATAAAAAAATATTTTAAAAAATACCAACTAACTGCTTGCTGTTTTCAAAATTAAGAGTGGCTCTCCACAGAGACGTGACACATACACAGTACTCTCTCACACCAAATGACAGCTATTTCGTCTACAAAACAGAAATAAATTACTTATAGTTAAGTTAGTACCTAGTCTCAATACCTCACACGCTACAGAGCAAGCTTTCTCAAATCCTGTATCTGCATTAATAGATCTAAATGTCCAGAGGACACCTTTTCACAGCAGCCCAATTTGCCGTACTTCATTTAAATTCACCGTTGAGTCTAGAGAAGGCATAAAAAGCAATCTAGCATTTAATACTTGAGAAGATTTCTTACGTTATGTTGTTCTTAATACAACAATGTCATCAAGTTACACACTACACAAAGCAGAGCCTATCACTGAGTGGCTTTGTGTTTTGTCAGACTGTTGTTGACAATTACCTTAATCTTTACCTGTTCTCATCTCTCACAACTTCAGAGACAGCCTCCCCTCCTACATCTCTAGATCAGCCAGAGAAGCCAGGAAGGTTCTGTCCCCATTCACTTTTTCTCATCTAGAGCTTCTGTTCATGATTCGTCCAAGTTTGGTAGGGTATTTTACTTATAAATTCTGTAACGACCCACAACACACACTAGACAGAAGGAGCACAGCGGCACAAGTGAGAAAAGGCAGAGAGCCAGTCTCCATGCCCCAACACTGATCAACATGAGGCCACTTCCTAGATAAGCCACTAGCTCAGGTTCTTTATCTATAAAGTGATGGCAGTATAAAAAAACTAAGTTACAAGAACTGCTATGATATATAAACATTTGTAGTCGGGGATAGTACTTTATACAGTAGATGGAGCTAGATATAAACATGCTGCTACTTTCATGGGAAATATTACCTGCTTTATTTTTCAAACATCCTTGTTATATATACACTCCACACATGGAAATATATACATTTATAAATGGAAAACACTGGGTTAAAAAAAAATTTTGGTATAGGATTTAAAGGAAAAGAAGAAAAAAACTAGCTGAAAGTTTCTGAATGTTTGCCTAAATCATTTCATAGGTTGACAGAGAAAGACACTGTAAGGTTATTCAGAACCTTTTACTACTAAAGAAACCTCTTATGGGTGTAAAAAATATATTCTAGTTCACTGTACACCTTTGCTATTACAAGCAAATCCATATTTATCCATAACCACCTGAAATTGAAGCACCATTAAAACATCAAATGGGAAGTTCTATAAAAATTAACCTTCAACAGGACAAGTTAGAAAAAATTACTAACACTTGTATTAATAGCGTGCCTCGTATTTAAAAACAAGGGACTAGTTTGAAGCCGATAACTTTATTAGAAAAAGATCAATACTAAGACCCTTCAATGACACAGACAATCCACTTTGTAACAGAAAGTCAGAGATACTTTATTTTCACTTCTAAATCCAAAGGCTAAGGTATAGCAGAAGTGTAAAAATGGAATCCTACTTAGTCTGCTTCACATGAATACTAACGTTTAATCCTGTTTTCAAAGTCCGAGACTGAAAACTTGCAAGTAAACACTGAGCAAGCCACATGTTTAGGTAATATTTCTTAAAAAGTCTTAAAGAAAAAAAAATATGATACAGGACCTAAGTTTTCAAAGTGGCATATGTGCAATTAACACATGTTCTGAAATCTGGTAGGTCACAACAGTCCTGAATTAATTTTTAATAATAATAATAAAAAAAAAACCAAATAACTAACTGAGCTTTATACTTTTTCTATGCCACTATAGCTTTCTTTCACCTCATTTTAATGTTGATCTTCACTTTATGCCGTTTTCAGTATTCTTCAAAAAATCTTCAACAGTAGTCCTATAATGCAAAATTTGGGGAAAATTGATAATTAGACAGCATATAAAAGGTAAAAATTTATGACTAAGTGTTGGCCCAGTCGCTAACTGCTAACATGATACATGTGCATATGAAATGTTTGTACTGTTTTACATCAAGGCATCAGGGTAGTTCTTAGAGCCATGTGCCTGTGTGTGCTGCCTATGTGTGACTGGTTCACACGGAAGTAACTACACTACTTTTCTAAAACAGGAATGACACTGATAAGTAACTAATTGGTACTTCCTTTCATTAGGAATATATCATCCCACGCCACTAGCCCGAAGACTGAATAGTTAGGACGTTTTAAGAACACCTATAAAAGCTAGCTTTCAAACAGTTCTTTAAGAACCCAACCTCATCCGAGAGTCAATCAGTTCTTCATGTCACTGATCTAAGTGTCCTTGCTAAATGCTGTTGCTTTCAATGTCTCAGCCAGTGACTATTTCTCTATACTATGGCTGACTGCAAATTCTCCTACACAGTAGGAAATGTTAAGCACATACCTCTTAAAGACTTGAGAATTGCACTGAATGTAACAAGGCGGATAATATGAAGTGTTTATTGTATTTAAAATTCTTTAAAGATATCTAATTCTGGGCACCACTGCATCCCTACACACAGTTGAAAAAAAATTCCATTCTGTTAACATATGATTTGTAAGATCACGCAATACACAAAAAACCCCTCTGTGCTTCTTGTAAAGAACAAAAAGGATACACAACAGTTAAGCGTAAAGGTCACAGGCAATAGCATTCAAACACGGATGTGGGTAGAGAAAGGAGTACCTGGCATGAGTACCTGCTTAGTTTGACTGAATCCTTGATTTCTAATTTGGCTTTTCATGGGCCGCTCACAACACCAACGCTGTGTGAGGTATGGTAGTCAGCTGCAATAATTCATAAACCCTACACTTCCATCAATCCAATGCTACTGGCTCTCGAGTTACAGAACAAACTGCATTAGAATGCAAGGCAATAAAGCAAAAAACTAGAAACATCCTTGACAAAGAAATACTAGCAGTTTAATTAAAACAAAGTAGTCCAACATGTGCCTCAGAAATAGTTAAGTTTTTAAAGCATATGTTTCTGCCAATGTACCAACACAAGATGGACTTAATACCAAAAAGAAAAAAAAAAAACAGTTCAACCTTTTTATTAAAAAAAAAAAAAAAAGAAATGACAGCAAAATCCCTAAAAAAAGGATAATTAACTTTTCAATGGCGACTATATTACATACGTGGACAATAATTTCCAAAGAGGCACACTAATGGGGGCACGAAGTCTGCTACAAAATAGCTGAGACAAAACAATGTACCTCAAAATGTTTTGCAGGACTACACTGTCTTTTCCTTCAGAAGAGGCTTTTGTATGTCTTCTTACTCGGCTTAGATCCATCTTCATCTGTGCATACTTACGCTGCACTGTCAAACAGTAACAAAAAGCCCTAATCAAAGTGAGAAACAATACACTTACCTCTGTCTGATCTGAGGTCTTATCAGATCAGTTTTAATTGGACTGAGTGTCACCTTCAGATTTAATGTCTTCACTGGTCCCATTGACCTCATTCTTAGCATCACTTTCCTTCG